ACCACCTCCCAAGTATATCATTGTAGCATCTTTTGTCTATTCTCTGTCTGTAATTTGGCACCAATTTACTGATTTGTGTTGTCTTTATTTACCTTTATCGCTGCTTGAACATAGTGTTCATGTATGTCTTTGTTTGATGCAGAATAAACTTGAATGAAGTCAGAAACAGGTTTTCGAAGTTCTACCAGTAGCTTCAAATCCTCAGTGTTTGTCTCAATTGAACGGCTCTGGAAGGATTTTCAGTTTTGCAGTCAGATGTCTAGACTCACTGATGCTTCTGGAAGTTTCTGTGGCTGCAGTAGAATTTTCAACTAATGTAATGATGCCTCCTTTGTGGCCATTTCTGTCTAGCCTGTATGTTTCATAGCCTCTGACAGAAAAGCAAGAACCTGTATTTAAATGAGTTTCCTGAACGTAGACAACATCAATTCTGTGTTCATAGATGCATTTTTGCAGTTCGAGCTTTTTCATCATGATCCCTTCTGCATTCCATTGCATTATCTTGAGTGTTTTTTTTTTAATTTATTATTTTTATTATTTTTATTTGGCCAGACGCGTAAAGGTAAAGTCTGGAGATGTGAACCAGTGTCAGTGCACACGGTTATAAACCATAAATGCTCAGTATTACTCTGCTTAATCCAGGTCGTAGAGCTACCATCAGTAGATGTAGTAGATCGCTTCCAGGCTCGGAATCTGGCGCTGTTTATGCCTGGCAGTAGTCCACAGAAGCAGCCCCATAACGGTGTAGGTATCTAAGCATACTCATTAATCGTTGATTGCGTTGATGTCCATTTCCATTTCTGGGTGCCCACGCCATTCAGGCGGACATGTCCGTCTTCGGTGGGGGAAGCTACGGAGTCTCCCTATCTATGTTCTGGTTCATCCAAACAGTGCCTGCCAGAAATCACAGGTCGTGGGAGTTTCCCCTTCTCCGCCTTTGATTATCCAGGTGTGAGCTCCCTGGGTGTGACCTTGGTGGGGATCGGAGCATGTCCACGCGCCGAAGGACCCAGCATCGGCTGCATCTTGGGGGATCACACTCTACCGAGGGTTTCTGTCTCACTGACCCCAGCCCCGTCAGGCATCAGGGGTCCATTTTTGTTAGCGATGAAGATTAGGGATGCGCATATGAGCGGGGTCTGTTAAAACAGGTCGCACCACGTGTAGGTACGGTTGACTTGATTGGCAAAGGCTATGAGTTTCGCACAGGCATTTCCAATTTTCTTTTTCGATGGGACCTGTACATACCAATACGAAAAATTACCGGGGAATAAAAGAAGAAGAAAAACAAACAGTTAGCAGAACCGCAACCATAATTTGTGGAAAAGGGGGGGGGGGGAGGGGGCGACACCACAATTTTTTAGAGGACTCTAAAAGACTTAAGACTTGTTTACATGCGTAGTAATAAAACAAATAATTATTATTTACAACTACCATCACTACTACTACCACTACTACTACTACTACTACTACTACTACTACTACTACTACTACTACTACTACTACTACTACTACTACTATTACTACCATTACCACCACCACCACTACTACTACTACAAAAAACTACTACTACTACATACTACTACTACTAAATACTACACAGTAGTACTTGTAATTACTACTAATACAAGGTATTACTACTGATACTAACTACTACTACTAGTAGTGAATACTACTACCACAATGTACTACTACTACAACTGGTAATTAAAACTGCTTCTACTACTAAGTACTACTACTACTACTATTTCTAGTAATTACTATTAATACTACTACTAAAGGTACAACTACTACAATGTACTACTACTACAACTACCACCACCACCATCACCACTACTACTACCACTACTATTACTAAAAAGTACTACTACTACTACCTTTACTACTAATACTACTACTACAACTACATAGTACTACTACTACTACTACCACTACTACTACAAAGTATTACTACTACTACCACTACTACTATTACTACTAAGTACTTCTGCTGCTGCTGCTGCTACTACTACTACTACTACTACTACTACTACTACTACTACTACTACTACTACTGCTATTACTACATCAAAACAACTACTACTACTAGGTACTACTACTACTGCTACTTCTACTACTACCACCACCACTACTACTACTAAGTACTACTACTAAGTTATAATACTACCACTACTACTACTAAGCACAACAACAACAACTATTATTACCACTTCTACTTCTACTACTACTTTTACTACTGCTCCTGCTGCTGCTACTGCTGCTACGACTACTACTACAACTTCTACTACTACTACTACAACTACTACTACTACTACTACTACTACTACTACTAATACTAGTACTACTACTACTACTACTTCTACTACTACTACTACTACTACTACTACTACTACTACTACTGTTACTATATTGTATTGTGAGCCTCTCAAATCGCTGAGCAACTAGGTTCCGTGGCCTACTGAGGGCAGCGCTTTTGTGACAGATTAGAGAAATCAGATGCAGTCAGTCTTTAGGTAATTATTTATTTATGTAATGTCGATATGTTATAAGAACGACTGGACTTGAATGTTGAATATTGAATTAAGAATCGACATCACAGCACTCAGATGCTCCCATAAACTCTCCGTCCCCATCTTCAGCTGCAAGCGTAGAGTCTCAATTCTGATGGCACTAGCAAATGTCTGATCGTATATCCGTCTCGCCTTTTCCTTGAGTTTTGAGCATCGGTCAGATCCCCTGGTAACTCCTCGTAGCGCTGTTCTACTCAGACCGTAATGATCTAGTGTGCGTCCGCACTGTTCACTCACTCCAAGGGACCCTCACCCCATCTAGCTCGTCGTACATCAATTCACCACCACGTGGTGCAGAACCGGTTAGTCTATATGTCTGCTCGTTTTCCAACACACTGGTAGATCTGGAGAAAATATACAAAGGACGCTAACTACTCATAAATGGCTATGTGTTTCGATTCAGACGAAGTGCATGGGGGTCATAGTAGTCGAGTTGAGTTGAGTCAAGAATTGACATCACAGCACTCATGGCATTCCCATGCATGCTCCGTCCTTATCTTCAGCAGCTAGCGCAGAGTTCCAATACTGATGGTACTGGTCATAATCTGGTTAAAAGTCCGTCTTGCCTTTCCTCTGAGTGTAGTGAACCGGCCAGACCCTCTGGTTACATGCATTCTCTCCAGGCCATAATATTCTTTTTTCTCTACTGATTCCGTTGCTTGTTCCCAATGGGCCTTAGCCACATCTGCCTTGTCATGTATCAGTTCACCATCCAGTGGTGCGGATCCAGCTAATCTGTCTGCCTGTTCATTACCCACCACATCGCCATGGCCTGGAGAAAAGATCCAAAGTATGCCCACCACCCGTGACCTTTCCAGTGAAGCTAGCCACTCGAATCATTCCTGTCTTCACCTTTTTCATCATGCTTTCAGAGTCTGTTACAATTACATGTGTATGCATCTTGTTCTCTAGCCACCTGAGAGCTGCAGTTACCGCCTCCACCTCCATTCTCATGCTAGATGTTGTGGTGTCATATGCTAGGCAGTGAGGGTCATAGCAAAAGCTGTTTTCAGATTTCTGATTTATCTAAGGACCAATATTGGCTTACTCTCCAAGGAAGCAGAACTGGTCTTGCAGTGGATTCCAGCCCACTGTGGTATTCAAGGAAATGAGAGAGCAGATGAGTTGGCAAAAGCTGGGAGTAATCTTCCACAACCTCATCCACCACACAGCTACAAGGAAACCAAAACAGCGCTAAAGCAGTCTTTCAAGCGCGAGTGGAGAAGGCAGAATGGAGATTACAGACCAGAGAGTGACAGCATAAACAAACTCAACAGAAAAGAACAAACATCAATTTTTAGACTTCGGACTGGACACTGTGGTCTTCGAGCACACCTGTACAGGATAGGCATAAAAGAATTTGCTGCCTGTGATTGTGTCGCAGAAAGACAGACCCCTGAGCACATACTGCAGTACTGCCCTTACCTCTCCCAGCGAAGACTGTGGATCTGGCCCAGGGGATCCACATTGCGAGAGTAGCTATGGGGGGACCGGTGGCGACCTTAAACGCGCAATCCTATTTTTGACCCAGACGGGACTCAATGTTTAGCATGACTGATGTCGAACGCAGAAGAAGAAGAAGAAATAGCAAAAGCGAATGAAAGTCGCCCAGTGCAGCAAAGCCTGGCTTGTCACATCACAATGTCTAGTTTGAGAATGGGGATGGAGACATTGACAGTTGCCTTCCGCTGGTTCGAGAATCAGCTGTACCTACATGTCATAATTGAAGCTGACTCACAGAGCATGATGAGAAGGGTGAATACAGACATGCTCCGTGCAGAGTGGCAAGCATCTCTTCGGAATGGACTTGGAAACCTGGTTACAACAGAACTGGAAAGAGCAAAGGAAATGCAAAGAAGGAATTGGCAAGAACATTGACCTGATCCGCTGGCAATGCCCCGAGCGCTAGGATATGGGTTCTCGGGTCTGCGTGAAGTCGAGACTCAGGAGACAGACATTTCAACAGGTGCACAGAACGTCCTCCAGCTTTTTGGTGCGCAAATAGAGAACGTTTCTGGTCAGCGATGAACCACGTCACTTAGTTCTCGCCTCAACACCATGGACACTGACTGTTGCAGGAAAACTTTCCGTATCACAATAGAGAGCGTCATTTTTCTTTTATTTTCATTCTTTTGGAATGCACCACGCTGTAATTAGACTATATTTATAAGCGATTGCTAATTTATTTCCTTGTCTGCCACCTGCCAAAGTAAAGTGATTCGTATGTACTTAAGTTTAACAACTCTACGTCACTACCTGGTAACCGAGTATCCTTGCGCCAGTTGTCCGTAGTTACCGCAAACGCCGAGAAAGAGGAAGATCAAATTGACAACAAAATAACTCAAACTTACATCAGTCACACGACCAAGATCAGACTTGGTCATCTTCCTGACCAGTGGCGTTTTCGAGGGAGAACGGCCCACAATCAAAATGCGTGAGATTATGCACATTCAGGTCGGCCAATGCGGCAACCAAATAGGCTCTAAGGTGAGTGCTGTAAGGTGATGTTCGTTTATTTCTTATTTTTAGTCCCTGTCATGTGGTATCAATTATCATGTCTTCTTTAGCCTGATGTAACATGCAGTGGCAATCATTTCTAATACAGCTGTGCTTACGATCGCGCCAAACTTTCTCCATTTGCCTCTTCTCTTCTACAACTTTCCCGTTGTCACTACATACCCCAGTTATTCAAGGTATTCCTTTCTAATGACAAGCACACATGCTGTAAACTATTATGGTTGTTTACTGGGTCCGAATGCAGTGGCTGGGGTCTCGAGGCACTCGATGGTAAAAATATCAGTTTCATATTTTCAGGGCATGCGGGCTTGCAAGGAAATGATCAAGCTGATAGGCTTGCAGGTAAGAAACTGTGAAGGGAGAACGAGCGATCGACAAGGTTGATATACTGTATGCTCTACGAGAAGTAAAACGTTTGCTGGAACTAAGCGATGACTGTGAATCTGCAACTATGACCAGACTGCAAGAGCAGCATTTTACAAGCGGTGTGGCCAGACAAAAGCACTATGCAGGAAGCCAGATAAAAAGAATTAGCCAACACAAAACTGGTGAAGGACAGAGAATAGAAGCATCCATTCAATAGTAGTTGTTGCTAAACTTGTTTGCGTATTCAATGTTTGTATTATTTTGACTCATTTGGGGGATCTCAGTGGCGAATAGTTGAAGCCGTTTGCCTCGCACTCTAAAAGTCGTGGGTTCGTTTCACCGACGCATAATTCGGGTCACAGGTGATGTTTCTACAGAGCTCCATGGGGATCGTTGCTAAAGCTACGAAGTTAGTACTTTCGTCAGGTGTTTCCCCAGCTGTTCTAAGGAGAGAGTGCGCGAGCTATATGGTATACACCCGGTACAATAAAGTGGTACCTCTCCATTTTAACTTTGATTCTTTAGGATTCAAACATTACTACTCGAAATTACAAAACTTTGGTTTGAGAGTTTGGAGTTAATAACGTTCCTGTGTGTATTCTGTTGCCCCGTTTGGGGGGAGGGGTGAATAAACTGACTACCCCTAACAAGTATGTTGTAAAAGGCGACTAATTAAATGTCCTTCAAAGGCGGAGAGAATCTATGAATAAGCCAGATCTGTAAAACGGATGTGCACGCAAAGCTAGTTCTGGAACCAAACCAAAATTCAGAAATGGACGAACAACCAGAACTTTCCTGCCAGAGGTTACAGTCGGTTAACGCTGCGAACAAGAGAAATTAATAACTTCTGAAGGTTGAAGGGGTTAATGAGAGCTTGTGTTCTGGCAGTTCTGGGAGGTGATCTCAGACGAGCATGGCATCGATCCGACGGGCAACTATGTCGGGGATACAGACCTACAGCTGGAGCGCATCAACGTCTATTATGATGAAGCGGCGGGTGAGTAGTAATCTCTGTCCATCTACTCCTGGTCTACTCTCTGGAACATGGGTGGGAATTATCTGGAACATGGGGTGGGAATTGTCTGGAACATGGGTGGGAATTGTCTGGAACATGGGTGGGAATTATCTTGAACATGGGTGGGAATTGTCTGGAACATGGGTGGGAATTGTCTGGAACGTGGGGTGGGAATTGTCTGAAACATGGGTGGGAATTGTCTGGAACGTGGGTGGGAATTGTTCCCTGCCCATGAGCGTCTTTTTTTATGAAGGCATTTATTTATCTTGCAATAGTTTCATTGAATATTTCTTTAATCAGTTTGTGGTTCCCATCTGTCTCGCCGCGGATCGGAAGGTCGTTGGTTCGCTCCCTGGAAGAGCCGGGCTTTTTTCAAAAATGACCATGGCTCCGAGGTCGACCCAGCCTGGAGTGGGTACCGGGTGTAGTCCCTGAAAGTAAAGGCTGCCGGCGTGATGCTGACCACATCACCCATCTTGTGCCGATTGGTCTATAAAAATTTAGGTCTAGTCCTATATGCCCTTTACGCGTAAAGGCGTGAAAAAGGGACCCTTCCTTTACTTACTTTTTTATCTGTCTCGTCTGTTATCATATCCATAATGGCAAACACGGCAAGGGACATGACTCTGTATCCCTGTCCAGGCAGTCGACATAAGGCTGTTACAAGGAGCTGCCAGACATAAGCATTTCACTAAAGGCACAAGACATCTGTTAATCAAAACATAACAGGCTTTATTATTGTTGTAGGGCCACTGGGGAGGGGATCAGAGCACCTATAGATCTGTCCGGAGGGCGGTGATGACAGTCATCACTAATCACTAATCCGTCTTTGGAATTATGTCCCTTTCTTCGTAAAACACATTTTCACCAGATGTTTATTGTAACCAGACAAGAGAACTATGTAGGAAGTCAAAGAAGAATCGGAAACCAACACAGAACTGGTGTCGTCATCGGCTACCTGCTGCAGGATTTACTAAATAGGGAATCCGAGCACTGGATGGTTCAGTATGTAATGAGGGTAATCTGACGACTAAATAGCTAACTAGCTAGCTAGCTAGCTAACTAACTAACTAACTAACTAACTAACTAACTAACTAACTAACTAACTAACTAACTAACTAACTAACTAACTAACTAACTAACTAACTAACTAACTAACTAACTAACTAACTAACTAACTAACTAACAATAAATGTTTCTCAGTTCGTCTGCCTATTGTCTACTCTTCAAATCCAAGGAACAGCATACGTTTTATATAGCAATGAAACTCATTGTATTCCTGTAGCTGACATCTTTTTGCGCGAGGTTCTTCAAGGCTGGAAATAAAAAGTGGAAAGAAATTTTCGAAGCAAACAGTTTGAGGGAAAAAATGAACAATCTTAGCCATTTTCATTTTTTTTTTTTTTTAAGAAGAGAATGAGAAAATGTTAAGAGATCTGCTTTGTGGCTTCTAACTATTTTTGGTGAGTGTGTTGTCCAATCTGCAAAAAAGGCTGCTTTTGAAGTATCGATTTTTGTTCGAATCTCGCTGATTCCTTATTTAGAATAGACAGCATTGCCTACCGGAAAGTTACCTAGGTGCCCAGTCTCCTGCAACGTGTGTGAATCTGAACCTCACTAGGACCGCACACGGAGCGATTAACACCTTGTGACGTAACCTGCAAGGTGTCATTCTTCGGCCTAGAGTTCCCCCAAGTACGAGTACAAATCCCAGTAACTCATTTCAACCGTAAGGTTATACTGGGGCCTCGACCGTTACTTCCGACGGTTACAGAGCTGTAATACTTCCAGTACTGCTCTACACTTGCGAAACTTGGACTGTGTATCAGCGCCATGCTAAAAAGTTGAATCAGTTTCATATAACCTGTCTCAGAAAGCTGCTCAAAATCAAATGGCAAGATAAGATCTCAAATACTGTGGTTCTTGATAGGGCAAACCTGCACAGCAACCACACGAGACTGAAGAATTGTCAGCTGCGTTGGGCTAGTCACCTAGCCCGCATGCCAGAATATCGCCTCCCAAAGACAGTATTTTATGGCGAACTCCAGCAAGGGAAGAGGTCACAGGGAGGACAGAAAAAAAGCGCT